CGTTCAGTTTTAGATACAATAACAGTATTATTGTTAGATTCTACATCTACAGTACTATGTAGTACTAATTAGAACTTTTATAGTAGGCTTCCTATTGGATTGACCACAGGTGTAGTCGTTTCGAGTTGTTCGGTAACATTAACGAGTCACGATGACTGAGTTAGACGTAACGAAGCGCGTGGTGTCCCCGCCGGGTTGGAGAATTCTAAACTAACAATTCGTTTGTCGACACTTGGACGCTTAGAAATCCAAAACTGAGCGGTCTATCTGTATAACTCTGGTTTAGAACTTAAAATAATAAAATTTCGGCAATTTTGTTTTAAATACTTTAAAATAAAGTCATGTATTCCAGTCTAGCGCATTTAAAGATAGTAAATCCCCATAAGAGCCTTTGAATTCAGTTTTTTGTCTCTCCTGCAAAATTTACGAAATCGGAGTTGGACGGTTAGAATTCTCGATCGACGTTGTGCAGTTGTGAGCGCCGTAAAACCTCTACTAAATAAAAAAAAATCATGATGCGTAGGCCTATAGATCTACTTTGCACATGTCTAGCTTAGTTCATGACGAATTTATTTTGCTTTTATGAGCACAGTTGGCTACTGATAAGTAGATCTAGATCTAGATGTCTCTGGAGGGGTCAGAAGAACATCTAGGTCTAGTTATCCTTTTTATAAGACTAAGATAGACTCTTCCATCAACACAATTAATAATAGCCAACCATGTCCTTGTGTGGCAGTCGAATGTGAGTGAAGCGATCCATTTGGATGTGTACAGCATGTGTTGGGTGCCTGTGTTGTTACTATTTTTAGTCGATAGTGTAGAGGCCTAGGCCTTCAGTGATTGTAATTGCACATACTGTGCTGACGTAAAGTGACCACAAATTATGGACATCATAGCATATGTAGGCCTATGTGTTTGGAACCTTGTGTGTGTGTGTGTGTGTTTGGGGGGGGGGGGGGGGTAGTTGGATTAAAAGATCAACCTAATCTTTTCTCATTATTGAAGCCATATTTAAAGAATTACAATAGTTTCATTCACCTTGAATTAATTTTGTCATTCTGCTATGATTGTCAACTCAATTAAATTTAATTAATTTCATCCACAGACAAAAAAGATTTGATCATACTTGCGTCTTCGTGGCATTGACTCTGCATCTGGGGGAAGCAGCACAGCGACCGAAACAAAAACTCCAAATAGAACGGAAGAGGACACGGTTCAAGGAGTACAAAATAGACAGCAGGATCATGTGCCGAGAAGCCTTCAAGTTTCTCCTAGCGTAAGTTTCAAAAAATATTTTTTACTTGTATTTTTGGCAATGAGTGTTTTTATAATGTGGAAAGTATAGACACTCTAGCATTTTTACTTCCTCAGAACTGACGGTTGGTGGGCGCTCTAGTGTGATTTGCTTCTTCTGTCGCTCTACTGTCGTCCTTTGCTACCCGTCTTATTTTCTCATGTAGTTCAGGGCACTTATTCCTACTGTGTTGCAAGTGCTGTTACTATAAATCATGAAGCAAAACAGTTTCCACACCCTCCCTAAAAGTGCCTTTGATAAATTACTGCATAATGCATGTAATAAATTTGGAGAAAAAAAAATGTGCCATTTAAGTGATATCCTTAGCAGTGGCAGTGGCATTTGAACCACTGACAAATTTTATTGTCTCTTTGATGAAGAGCGAGCTATTTTTGTGTGCGCTTATAATTCCAACGTTTCTGCATTCTTTTTATCAGGGTAAACACTGATAAACTTACTGCTTTGAAACGCCATTTTCTGGCACATGGGAGAGAGCCTCGCACAAAGACAAGGGGAGGACGCACAAAGCTGGCCTTCACTACGGAAGACACCACGAGGGCCCTCAAGTTTCTCCACACCTGTGCTGAGCAGGATGCCAGGATTCAAAAACTGGAATGTCCATCTCCTTCCCTTCTATATGACCCACAAGAGTGTTTGAGAAGAATATTATAATGACACCAAACAAGCTGGCAGAATTCTTACATTTTTTTTCAAAAACATTCCTTAAATTATATACATTTTTGGTGTTGGCAGTATAGTGTAAGCCTACCTGGCTGGATTTCATGAGGTTACAGGTTTGATGGTCAAGACTATTGATAGTAAAAGATTTTATTCATTACTTACTTACTCTTTACTTTTTGTTACTTCACTTTTTTTCAGCTTTTAATTTTCCCCCTTATTTCTATTAATTTACAGGTTTTAGGGTAATGGAACATACAACGTTTCGGAGAATGAGGAAATTACTCACACTATATGTACGTTGTGGTGTGCAAGCCAATGACTGACTTGTGCTTCACATTGGTTCAGAGATCATAAACTTACATGACGGTAGGTATCATAATATGACAACTGCTCTGTTATTTCACTTGAGCTTTCCTATTTATCAAGTAAATGTAGAAATATTATTTCATGAAAATGGTTCAATTTCCTGTTATCCAGGATAAAATTATATTATCATTTTAAAACTGAAAGGACTATTTTGTTTCACATCAATTTTGAACAATCACTAGGTTAAAAGAAAGGAGAACCACTGAGTTGTGTCCCACGGGTGCTGCTCAGTGGTGACCAGAAATGGTGTTTGTGTAATTGTATAGTGCGAGTAAAAGGATGTAATGTAATAGTATTGTACTATCATGAGTATATAATGTACATTGTTGTATGAATGTTTGTGTATTATGTTTCTCATGCCATTGTACTCTAAAATTTCCTTGCTGGGATCAATCAAGGTGAATTTCTATTTTCGTTTTTCCGTTTCAATGTAATTAAATCTTTAAGCCTTTTTTCAACAAATTCTCTCATTATTTTCCTTCGCCAGATACAGCAATTCTTTCTTTTTTTGCTTCAGATTCTAAATTCAAATTGGAGGCCCTGGAAATTCAGCGTGGCCTCCTCCAGCTGGTTCAGGCTGGGCGTGCCAAGTACCGGGAAGAGGTGGCAAAGGCCAAGGCTGTTGTCTCCCAGCATGTCCTACAAGGTTTGAGACCTGTTCAAGGGGTAGAGTGGATGCACTATTCCTTCGATTTTGCTCAGAAAGTGCATTATCCCTCAAGCCCCTGCAACCTGGTCCCATTTATTTCCTGGTGCCGAGGAAGTGCAATGTATTTGGAATTTGCTGTGAAGGCTTTCCCAAACAAGTAAGAGATGCACATGTTTTCAGCTGAGTGCTCAGTATTATACATTTTTTGTTAAAGTTTGATTGTACTTGTGGTACTGTAAGACCATTTAATTGCTATGAAGTACGTTAGGAAATAGTAACAGTTTTGTTAGACACAGATGGCAGGGCTGCCTAAATCTACCGATTTTTCCGGTAGATACCGATTTTGGTCCTATTCTACCACCATACCGATAAAGGTGTCAAAACTACCTGATTTGTGATGGGTGCCGAAAGAAGAAAAAGAAAAAAAAAAAGATTCTTCAGTGTTTCCAATCTTCTTTGTTTTTGCGTAAATTCGTACGTTGCGAAAGTTCCGTACTTGCCGCATCATCATATCAACTCCATGCGTTCAAGAGAGAGAGAGAGAGAGAGAGAGAGAGAGAGAGATCCGCACTTGCCTCTGTAACTTGTCAGATATTTACGGCAACTCTCAGGAATAAGTAAGTAGTATTGGAAACTGCCAGATTGTGCCTTTCGTGCACTCGACCATTGTCTATCTGTGCCTTTCGGTCGGCAATAGTTTTTCACATGCATATCGGCTAAAATCTGTCGACTCTCGATAGATAATCTTCCTCCTTCCTTTTATTCATTCATTCTTTCTGTCTATCTTCAGGTTTTGCTGTGGCTGGAAAGTCTGTGCATTTAGTTCATTTATCTAGAAAACAGAATTGTGAATGTAGAGAGAAATCAAAATCTACTTTCGCTTTCGTTACTGCTCAGAATTGTCTAATGGTAGTTTGTTAACGTTAGATTTACAGTTAATAAAAAATTGTAACATGCAGTTTATTCATAAAAAACACAGTGTCGCCATACAAATTAAATCTATATTCTCACTGATGTCACTATAATGACAAAAAAAAGGAAGAAAAAGAAAACAAGCGTCCTCCAATTTCTAGATTGTCGGGCCCGTCATCGTGACCGGTCAGTGAACCTGTGCGAGTTTGCATCGTGTGAGTGTGGCATGAGTAAGGGACCAGCCGGTGGTTGTTGGGGTAATCAAAGTTCATTCAAAGTAGGAGCATTAAAATTGCAGGGCTTCGGAATTGAGAGGAGGCATTTGATGCAATAAAGTCTACAGCAGTAGGATACGGCCGCGGTGCAAGAAACTGATGCTAAAATAAAAGCTATAGTGGAAATGGTTTTGACATTCGACGATGGAGTGCGTAAATGAGGGAACATTAGAGTACAGGCTTGATGATTGTATCTTCAAGGTTGGTGTTCCCCGATTTGTCGGATTTATCAGTGATGACAAATTGAATAGTGGCAATGAGGAAATGCCATTTTCAACCCTCGAAAACCTCTATGTTGGACGTCTATGCATCAAGATGGCTTGTTGCTGATTAAAAACTAGTACTGTGATTTAACATTTTGAAAAAAATCAATACTTCCGTCCATGGTGCAGTGATTCACTGATTGCCTGGTTTTCAGTATCACTACATCCCACGCTCTCATAGTCCTTCCAGCTCCGGGTCTCAGTACACGCTCTCTTCTATTGTCACTTTTTGCTCTGCCGTGAGCCTAACTATAAAGGTTTTATTAATAAGTTTTGCTTTGCAAGCTTTTTAAAATCTGTGATTCCTGAAACCAAACATGGTTTTGGCAGTGTTGTTGTTCTTGCCTCTCCTCAGGCCCAGATCAGGATTCATTTTGTATTTTTAGGGCAAAACTAAATGTAGTTAAAATTGTCTGTCATACCTAAGTCACAAAGGACTTATCAGTGTCCTATGCGAGTGTCGGAAAATATGTTTTAATATAGTTTCTATTGGTATGGGCTAGGGGTTTTGAAGTCAGTTTGGCAGTCACCCTACACTCAATTCCAGATTCAATACTGAATGATAGGTGCCGTGAACGATAGTCCATAAATGCTTAAAAAAACAACAACCTCGCCTCATTTCATACACACTGTTCATCTTAACTTGTTCACACCCAAACACCCCCTTCCCCTCCCCACATATATAAACACTCACGAGACCATGCTGGCG